TCTGATTGATTCAAAACTTACTAGATTACTTCCTTCTCTATTAGTGAGCTGTTCAAGTGGATCGATTCAAACTTGATTAAAGAAGATCAGGTCATGATAGCATGTCGATAATTTCAGAGCATATAGTTGGGCGATATGTTTAAATCCATTCATATGATCGCTCTATCGATAAGCAATCAATTCACTAAAGCAGCATTTCAACAAGATCGATGAGCTACAGCTTTGGAGTTTTTAATGGGACTTTATGTGTTGTCCATTTCGAGGGGGTTTTGAAGCATACGAGATGTGAAGCCACTTATAAAGTTCAAGCTGACTAAGCTGATTTCGATGTTATCTAACAATAAGCTCTTCTCTTTCGGAAGTTTCCTTGCCAGGAACTTAGTTTTTTTCGGATGATAAGCTTACCGTCATTCAGGTAGGCTCGATATGTTTACTGCTGCTTGAAATCCGATCGCAATGGTGTATTTCTCGTTTTGGCCAATTGCGTGCTTTAGAATATGAATATGATGTGATCATTATGAGAATATTTATTCGTTTCAACCGATGTTGTGCAGTGTGTAATTATGAGGTATTTACATTTGTAACGAACATCGAATTCAAAACATCGAACCAACTTCTCAAAGGAATGTCAACACTTCGATCACGGAATGCTAAATCACTGCCAAATAGTTTACTGCCTTGTACGTTCACTAATTTTAGATTACCATTCGACCAGTCTAATCCTGTAAATAAATTGGAACCGTCATAGTCAAGAGAACAGAAAGATTTTCTTGAGAGAAGAACGTAAAGAGGACATTTTGGGATGTAAGGAAAGATTTCATTCAAAATTAATTTCAGAAGGGTGTTTTTGCTTCTGGATTAAATCGAATATAACATTTGTCATAGAAACCAATGAAATTATCGCTCTCTAATCAAAACCAGTGTGATTTTCTGCATAGACCAAATGATGGAAGAATTTCCATGCACTTTTCCAAAACTCTTCGAAAATTGATCCCTTATTCAATAAAAGCATCAAGAAATCGATTATTTCGTCTGGAATGACTGACCTTTCCGAGTGAATTTCTCCACAAATGGATTGCCCAAAGGTTCACTTTCATCAACAACGAAACGATCAAATTTCTCACCATAACCCGTGAAAATTTTTTTCTTATTATTCAAATTTTCAACGATTCCTGAATTTTTCTCGCTTATTTTTCCATTCCCAATCGCCTGATCACTCTGATCGCTTGGTATTGCCGTTGTTGTTGTGATTAATGGTATCGATAGAATTGATGAGTCGGGTTTGCTTATATATTGTGGAGTGGTATCATCAATATTCAACTGAAATTATCAAAAAATTCAATATTTCCTGCTTTGATTCATCAATTGAGCGATGACTGATTATTTCAGAGAATCAAGTTTTTACAGATGAATATGCATTATTCATTCAACCAGTGTTTCTTACTCATATTCATTATTAATAACGTTATCACTATGGTATTAGCATTATATTTCGTTTTTCAGTTGAGAACAAATAACAATTGATAAGCATTATTAGTTCTGAGAACTGATTTGATTGTTTCTTTTGAATTTTACATTATTCACGAATGTTGAGCCTCCATCTTTTTTGCTGCTGTCGTAGAAGAGAGCTTTTGCGAGAGAATCCAACCAATCCCAGAGTAACGATAGTGTATCGGTTCGCTCAGAACTTAAACCATTCTCATCATTTCA